TTTCTATGCACTGATGATAAATAAGGCCCCTGGGGAAGAGAGTGGGAAGCTCCTACAGATCTAATTTATAGCCTGAGTCCCTCCTACTCAGGTGTGCAGCATCACTGCAAATGCCTCAACTCCACCCATCAGCCTCCTGAAACAAAAGGGGAAAAAACAGGCAACAGCAGACACAATAGGGCCAACCCTGGGGGCCGTCACACCTGACATTTAAACACATGGAGTGATAACAGTTAAGACACATTTGAAAACAACAATAATAATGAGTACCAAAGATGCAGACAAAATTGTGTCAATCAAACATAACAAAGCTCATTTTAATAGTTTAAATACATATATTACAATTATACAAAGCTGATAATTATTGGTCCATTCTGCTAAATACAACTTGAATTAAATAAGTTATAAAATATAGTAGAAAATCGTTTCTGCAGTTTATTCCTTATACCAAACCCATCCTCTTAATGTAAATCAATACTGTACCACAACTACAAATGTAGTATAATCCCACTCCCAAAAATTCAGTTTAACTTTTAATCATCCAGAAATGTAATAAATCTTTCATCACATGCAACGAAAGCATTTGGTTGTATAAATGATGTTAATAATGTCACAGATTACACACGGTCAAGTACAAAGGAAAGAATAAGTATTTCTAGAACAAATCACAGTAGTCGACAGTTCCCTTTACCATATGTATTCCCTAATACCCACACCCTTCACTATGAATAATCACTGTTCAGTCGTATTTCACCACACAATATTAGCTTTTACATATAGTTCTGCACCAATCTGAAGACCAGCCTGCTGGTCTGAAAAAACAGGAAAATAGATTGTATAGTTACATGTATTGTATAAGCAACATTCTTTACGTGTATATGTTGTCTTTTCACCCCACATATTCCAGACAGGAGACTGACCCCTGCTCTCACAGACACTGCAGAGAACTACATTTATGACATGAAATAACAAATATGAACTGCTATTCAAGAGGCAGCACATTTGTTTAAAGACACAGAACTGGCAGTGTTTGGATGAAAACTTTGTATTGGCACTGCACCATACATAGAATCAACAGTTTTTAAATTGTAGTGTGGACGGCGACTGAAAACTCTGCTGAGGCTGGAATCCCAGCATTTGAAAAGATATCCCCAGTACCCTCCTGTATTTGCATCAATGCAGCACTTATGCACTATTTACCTGCTATTAACCAGAGTTTGATGGACCAGAGTAAAGATAAAAAGATAGAATCTATCAAATATACAGTACGTCCTTTCACATCAGTCAGATATGCATGGCCCGCATGCAAGTAGTGGCACATTCATACATACAGTATTAGCATTAACATACACAAACGACAAATGCATCCCGTGGGGCGAGGATCTATTGTACACTGTCAGTCGTGGCACAACAAGGGCTTTGTGCTGCTGCAGAAGCTGTGACACTGACCTCACTACAGCCAACAGGCCCACAGTGTCACTGCTAGCTCAATGCTAAGTGACAGAATTTGTACGATTTAACTACATCTTGAAAATGGGGATTTAAGCGATTGCAGCACAAAACAAAAACTGCCTAAAACTACAAAGTGCAGGAGTTCTGATTGAAGTTAGTCTTTCTGATAAATACTGTGAAGTCACAGTGAAGCCAGAAGTAGCAGCGAACAGGCCAATACAGGCTTAAATAAAAATCTTGAAACTATTTGGTCCTGCAGTGATCCATCTAGTGATCCAAAAAGGCACTAACTGTGGTTCCAATGTTCCAACAGTAAACTGAATCTTAAAATATTGCACCTTAAAACTGCACCTATATTTAAAAAAAAAAAAAATCAAAAATGAAAAATAGATCAAACAGTAACATGTAATGTTACCTTTGGTGACAAACCCACTGAGAATCATCAACAGCTCTGCAGTTCCCCTCATTCTTTTGGTTTTCTAGTTCAAAGACTCTGCAGGTATTAACCAAATTTCCAGCTAAAAATCAACAATAATCCCAAAGTTCACTACCTGTGCTGCACCAAATAGCAAAAGAAAGTTAGCAACTAGCAGTATCTTTTAAGCAGCTACAGAATCAGATAGACCCAACCTGAGGTTCTAAAGTATCAGTATAGGGCTCCCGTTCATCAGGAGGTCAGAAACACAACTCCAAATAAATGCTAATATTGCTCCGGATGTGTGAACAAGCATTTGCTCACTGATGCCAATGTTGTACTTACAGGTTGTTGCCCTGCTTAAGTCAATTAATGCAGCTTGAATGAACTTTTCTGTGCAGTTTGTTGCAATGTGGCAATGGTTTTAGGATCTCCGGCCTTTAAAATACCTGCATTCTGGGTTCAACTTATTTGTATGTTAAAAAATATATATATAATTGTGAAAGCACCACCACAAAACCTCACATTGTCGATGGGTTTACAAGAGCATTCAAACCTCAAGCGTGGATAAAATAATTACATATTAAGTGCAGAGGATAAATGGTTGCATATGGCCAGCCATATGAACGCAGGCTTTGTGGTGTCATGTGACATAACATGTTGCCCTACATCAAGAGCTCAGACACTGAAATGAAATGAAGAAAAGAATAAAGGAATAAAAAATAATTTAAAAAAACAAACAGAGGATGCCATGTTTCGGTGTTTTTTTGTTGTTGTTGTTGTTGTTTTTACAACAATGCCATCTTATTTCCTTTTAGTGGTTTCTAACAATCCTCAGAGAGTTCACATGTGCAAAACAGTATAATACGTACACCTACAGTGATCAAACAGCTTTACAATAAAGCAAAAGGATAAAAGCTATTGCTTCAGCTCCAGGCTGATTTGGACTTAGTCTGCCTAGAGTGTCTGTTGGAGGCTTTGATGACACTTAGGCTGCATTCGTGGGTCTTCAGCAACTCAAAAGTCAAAATAATCATCTGATAAAGTCATATTTGTGGTCACCAGTCAGTGGAACAATCATAATCCTAATCTCCTGTGAGTAGCCTGAACATGCAGTTCATCACTCCCTACAGGTTAATACATGTGTTTATGTGCTGCTTTCCATTCATCCAGCGGTGTGTTAAAGTGAACACTGACTGTACCACTAGTATGTATTGTTGTGTTTTGTTACAAACAAAAAGTTTTTTGAGTTAAAAAAGCCCCTCCTGAATGCACTGCTGTTTCAGTGTTGCACTACAATTTCCACGATGCAGTGGTTTCAGAGTGTTATTCAAGTAATCTGTGCACAGAGCACTGGTCAAAGTTTCACTGCTTTAGACTGCTTCTTTGTTCAGTAATGTACACAGCAAATCTTTGTACTGTGAATAGGTTTACTGAATGACTCGCATCAGCAGCATGAACGCCTGGAGTTTGGTTTTAATGTTTGTGCATTGAGCATGAGTTTGCATTTGGGCTGTCTCTTTGAAAGTGTAGCTGCAGCTAATAGAATAGATTAAAAAAACAAAACTGCCACAGCTTTATCAAACTTGCTCACTGATGCTGCTAAAAAGGATCAGGGACTGGTCTGAGACACATCCAATGTAAAGAAAAATATTACTGGATTACTGCAAATTCTCAAGTAGACTCAAACACCTAAATTACAGCTGGTATCAGTACCATGCAGATATTATCAACATAATGGTCATTAGTATAACAGAGTCATGTTTTGCTCATAGTTCCTCTTTTTTAGCAGAAATACTTTCAAAGTGTCAGCAGAGAAACAACTACTTTGTGTGCACAAATTAGTAACTGATGCTCTCAACCTGGCAAGTCATGCTCTTGGATGAGTAAAACTAGATTTCACTTTTCAGCACAGGTTTTACCCACATCAACGATTATTGTTTATCGGGTAAAATCTGTCTAAATCCAAGTGGCTCATTTCGATCATTTACATTTCCCATGACCTCCTAACTTTTAGTGAATACAATATCAGCACAGACACGATAAAGACTCCACATCTATCCGACATGGGAGCCAAAAGATGTATTTTGGTTGTTGCTGTCTTTGTGGTCATTTTGCATGTCTTTGTAGTTGTTGTGCATCTTTGTAGTCCTTTTGCACCATTTTGAGGTCATTTTGTGGATCTCTGTGTAATCATTTTCTGTCTCCTTATAGTTGTTTGACTGACTTCCCAACAAGAAAGAACAGTCACTTCAAACTGAAGCTCCGGCCCAGGGGCCCAGGGGCCCAGTGTGCACCCAGTCGGCTAGCTCTGTAATCCATCTATGACTGCACCGAACAGATTAGCTGCCAAAGCATGTGAAGAACACAGGCAAATGAAATGAATGAGATAACCTGACAACACTGACACAAATGAAGGAATTCAATTTCGCACCAGAACATGGTTGCTGGTATGATGCTAACACCCTGGGTACTACCCCCTAACTGACCCACGTAGGCACAACGTCCCATAACATCAGTTTCTGCTGTTACACTGACTTTATATCAATTGCTAATTTGTGCACATAAAGTTTAGGAGCATGAATGAGTCATTCCTGTGCATGAGAACAGCTGTTCACTCCTGGTGCCTGCCAGGCTCTATAGTTGCACTGGTGAATTAATTCTGATTCTTCTTTGCTGTACACAACAAAAGCTTCCCAAGAAAGGGAAAGAACTATTCTATCTAAACTGCTGGAAGTGTTTTAGTTTAAACCAGATCACGCTGAATCTAACCAATACACAACAGGAACTCTGTAAATTAATATGACCAACAGAAGCAGATTGGATTATTTTCAAATGTGTGTATAACACCAGTAAAACTAAAAATAAAGGCTGGTTATCTCCTTGTCTGAGGTTAAAAACAACCCTGCCTGCTAGTCCATAAAATAATGTAATCATGAGTTAAACATCACCCACCACCTGATTAAATATAGTAGAGAGGCTCAATATCTATATGACAGTAGTCGTATATGAAGCTGTGTGCACTGAAGACATGCACATGCTTGCACATACACAGACAATCACATGTCACAGAAACATTAAGCATTTGATGAGGCTGAAGGTGTGTTGACGGCTCTCTCAGTGAGTCTCAATGACCACTGGCTCAAAAATACCAGGTGTTCCTCTGGAAAAAACAGAAACACACGATCAATTAAATGGGGAAACCGTGGTGGTAAAAAGACACATGAAGCTACATATCCAGAGTGTACCTGTTGGCGAGCTGCGTCCCACTGAGGGCCGTGGTCCCATCTTTGCTGACAAACAGTCTTAAGTTGCTGTCTGAAGGTAGATGAAACAAAGGTTACCACTGTGATACTCAAGTGTGCTAAAACCAAAACCAAATAAATAACACTCCATCCAACCTTCGTTGTTGCTGCTGTCAGAGAAGTTCTGACTCTGCACGATCTTCTCCACAATGTCACCTGCATCAATGCGAGTGTCGTCCACACAGCTGGGCTGCCTCTCCACAGTGTCCTTCTTCCTCCTGTTGATGGCCAACACAAACACAAGAGAATTAAGATTCCTGTCTGAAACACAACAACGGTCAGACACAAAGTTTTACTTCATAATGTTTTAACCGTATCCCATCTTATAGTAGCTGGATTATTTCTAAGTTGAACAGTAGGTATTTGTTCTTAATGAAAATCAAAAATGAACAAATTTACTATATTAAAAAGCCATACACCACAAACTCAATGCAACAAAAGTCAGTACACCTTTCATTACTGACATTCAAATCTTATATTTTTTCAATACTTCATGTGTCCACTTGTATTTTTGACGACAGACTCGACCTTCTTCAGCATGGAGGATACTAGTGTTGCACAAATGTCTTCACAGGTATTTATTTCAGCAGGTCTTTACAATTTTCTTCTTTAGAAAATCTTGTGTGATTTTTGTCAGAGTATGTTGGATCATTATCATGCTCCTCTCTGCCCAGGTTTCTACAGATCTTGATCTTGTCAGTCAGTATTTTGGTGTATCCACAGACATTCATGGTGCCCTCTGTGAATATCATCTCTCCAACACCTTCTGCACTCTTTCAGCCCCATATCATCACACGCCTACCTCCGTGCTTCACTGTCAGGACCAAGCATTCCTTGTGGTAGTCCTGCTCAGGTTCATAATGTATCAAGTCTGAAGCAATTGCATGTTTACTTTCCAGAACTAGATTACGGAAGTCTATCTGTGGCATCATTATTGGAGGACAACTGCTGTGGCTCTAAATTAGTGGCACTATGACTTGTTCTGTGTCTCCTGATTACTGCTGTAACTTTGAAACAGATTTTTAGTTGATTATTGATCTTCCACTATCTTTTTCCAGCGTTGTGAAGTCTCACAGTCACATTCTTTAGTTCCTCTTACAATTCTTTTCCATGTGGAGACATGATGCTGACATGCAGATAAATACGGCCCATTTAAATCCATGTTGATGCAAATAGGCAGATTGCTAGTACTCAGTTTTGTTACAATTATCACAGATGTCTTAACTTCTATGTCAGGAATCACAGGCATGCTTTTGTTGAGTTTCTAATTTGGGGGCCTCTTTTTTAAATATAGTCTTTCTAAAGCATTTGTTTTGATTGTTCACAAGAGGAAATAATATACTTGTCAAATTGGAAATAATAAAATTTTTGGGAGGTGATACAATTTTGAATATTTGACTTTTCAGTGATATTGCACAGGGATGTTCTGCTGTATACTGTGTGAGTATATGTGAATGAACACAAACTTTGTACAATTTGAAGTCTTCGCTGTGAGTATATTGTAGCCCACACCCTGACTAACATCTATGTATGAAGTTGTTGTCGACATTCACATAACCAGCAGAACACATCACACACGCCTTCTTTCAGACTGGAATAAATTCCTGAAGAATTCCAGGCATGTATATTTTCACATGCCTCGAATTCAACCGCAGTCTTTGATCAGCACCACGAGTCCTGGCATGCCTCAGTGACATCAGTGACTCAAGAGGACATGCAGCAACAGGTGTGTTTAGTCAAAAGTGCAGATGTGTGTGTGCGTCTACCTGGAGGACCTGTTGGACATGAGGGCTGCTGCAGAGGGTGGAGGTGGTCTCTCTGGTTTGGTGGGAGTTGCTGGTTGATGTGGTGCAGTGGAGGTGGAGGGAGGTGGCAGTGAAGGGTGGGCTAACCCACAGGAGGCGCTGCTGCTGGAGGAGGCGTTCCTATGGTGACTGAGGTCAGTCAGGCTGGAGCAGCGAGAGTGACTTGTGCTGTATCCTGGAGGACAGGAGAGGAGAGGAGAGGAGAGGAGAGGAGAGGAGAGGAGAAAAGGAAGGACAGAGAAAAAAGGAGAGAAGAAAAGGAAAAAACTAGGTTAGCAAAGGAAAGCAGATGAACAGATTTGCATATTTTAGAACGTGATGATGTGTGATGGAGGAATCTTTTTACTTAAGTGTAGTTATGGAAATGTATTTGTGTTTGCTTGCTATTTTTTTGGACCACATCCTGAAGAGTTCACCAAATGAAAGTTAACAAATGGGGCTTAACTTCGTGCAGAAAGTCCAAACTAGCGAGTTGCTTAACTGGGTTGCACCAAACCTAAGACGAAGTTTTCAGGCACAATGTGACAACAGCACCACTGTGCTCTGAAACCCATGATCTCAAATGGCTTCAGTCATGTCATGATGATTAGTCATTGGTTAGAGCGCTGCATGGACAACTTGCACATGTGCAGCAGTCAACATTCAACATAGCTGTGACGAATACCTACACAGGCTGATGTGTGTCTGAATTCCCTGAATGCGTTTGTAGCAAGACATCATAATCAAAACCCTATTTTGGTGAGAAGATTTCCATCAAAGTGGGCATGTCACAAAGTAAGACATTTTATTTTGACATTGCTAAGCTTTCTTTGTATAAGATGGCGCGACAAATTCTAAAACCCCATTTGGAGACATTGGGTATTACGACAGTAAATATAAAGTTCTTTGTTAGCAAGGTTTTCACTCCCTTAATGCAGCATTTGACGCTTTATATAACTCTTCTTCTGCAGCACGTGTACTGATAGCATGCTGCCTTCTTCAGTTATGAGAAGCATGTTGTTATAATAGAGAGCTATGAAGAGTTTAAAAATGTATTACAGTGAAAAACAACAAGGTCACTGCACAGACAGGAATGTTTATAGAAAACTATTAATCGTCTAAGTTCTTCAAAACGAAGCTCCAGCCCAGGGGTCCAGTGTGCACCCAGTCAGCTAGCTCTGTAATCAATCACTGCACCGAAGAGATTAGCTGCCAAAGCATGAGAAGAACACAGACAAATTAAATGAATGAGATGCTGGCATGATGCTAACACCCTGGGTACTACCCCCTTAACTGACCCACGTAGGCACAACATCCCATAACATCAGTTTCTGCTGTTATACTGACTTTATATCAGACATGTCCATCAAACACACGTCTTGTTGTGTCTGATCACTCCCCTTAGTAACATGTCAACCAGTTACTTAGTCAACCCAAACTAAATTTCTAAGGCTTGGGTCAAATACATTTATCTAAACTGTGTTGATAGCACCACTCTGAGGTCAAAGAAGTTGTTTCATCAAGGTATCTCACTTGTCTTAACTAAACCAGGCAAATGCTGACCTGATATTTTGCTGTGCTGGCTGGCGTAGCTGGAGCTGCGGACATGACCGGTGTGAAAGACCTCATCTGGGCTGGACACACTCTCCTCCTCTGGCAGCCCTGCAAGCACACAAATACACACACACATACACACCTGATACATTGACACCTGACTGTCTCACTTTGTTCTGTGTCTTTAATCAGCTGTTTGTCCACTGCAGTTCCACTGTCAGTAATTCTTAACATTAGTTTTCTGCTAGTTAGAAAAATCTGATCAAAAGATTCCGACCTCTGTTTCTTGAGATTTCTGCATCCACTCATTTCAAACATACAGTCATGGAAAAAATTATGAGCCCACCCTTTTATTCTTTAATTTCTTGTTCATTTTTCTGTATTTATTGCCTGTCTTGTTGTTGTTGTGTACCACAGTTTCATTCACCATGTCAAATTCCTTGTGTGTGCGAGCTCACTTGGCAATAAAAGCTTTCTGTATTCTGTATTCTATTCTGTATAAGCAGCACTGCACATGTAAAGGCCTGGAGTGGTTTCCTGCGTACATTCAAGCCGTAGCACAACTCAGAAGTTGTTAGCTCTCACATTATGTCTAAAACAAAAGAATTATGTGAAGTCACAAAGGCAGCCATCTTGGCACTGCTGGAAATTGGCATGAGTGAGAGACAGGTAGCGAAAAAAATGGTTGTAATAGGCATTAAAATTAACAAGAAATTGAAGAAAACAAGGGTGGTCTAATAATTTTTTCCATGACTGTATATTCATTCAAATTCACCGTTCATGACAATTTAATAAATTTCAGCAGCAATACCCACAGTGTCCCTGTGTCATGCAGAAACTATTAACTTGTTTTCATAATCAATTTCCCTGAAAACTTTTTCAGTTCACTGATTAGTCTAGAAAATAGTGGCAATCAAAATCTTGGTGCTGCCTCAAATGAAGAAGTTTGAATAGTCAGGGTTCATGATTGAGAATAGACAGGAGCAGCAGATTGACTTTTTTCCTAAAGATTATTCTAATTATTCCAACACATTTTTCTGTTTCATCACAAGGTAATTGCTGCATAATGACATCAGATGTTTTTTGGCTCCTGTCATTAGTCAGGCTACATTTTTAGACAATGGTGGCAGCAACAGAGTCCGACTTAAAGATATGGGTTTCCAAAAACCCAAGACTTCTAAAGTATTGGAGTATTCTAAATGATCACAGAACAAAAAGGTGGTTTGTAAACTGTTCCTGATTTTGGTGGAATTCACACAGAAACTTTTTGGCATTGCGGCACTTTACATCTGTTTGTTTCTCTCCTGCTCTCTGTGCTCACATATAATGGATTTTGATATAGCTGAATTCCCAATAAGCTGTTCTTATTACCGTGTTGTTTTTTTGTCTTTTCATTTCCATTGTTGACAATAAGAGAAATGCAGAATATTGACATTCTTTCCTTTTCGATTTTAGAGTCACGTAAAAGTTTAATCTACTTGCTTGCTTTGGTGGCACAATAGCCATCTTGCATTAAAGGATATTACTATTTTGCTCCAGTGTGGATCTTATTTTTTCAACCCAGCCTGTGATTCACTTTAATTACTCTTTAATGCCAGTTGGTTAGAGAAGACTAAAGAAGACCGCAGTGCAGTGCAGTTACCTGAGCTGTGTACTGATGACTGTCGGGGTTTGAAGGCGCAAGATCTCTCCACGATGCCTCCCAGTGGCTGCGTTGTGGCATCAGTGCTCTCCCCCTTACAGTCCAGCTGCAGGGTGGGGTCCTCGTCACCGATGGACACAGATTTGGCTGTACTTGCAGGCCTGGTAAAAAAAAAACATTATTATCATTATTTATGTATTACAATAAAAGTCCCCACAGCTATATTCTTGTCCATTCCAAACAACTAAAAGGAACTCACGTTTTAAAGCAGGGATCCCCAGACAGAAGAGTCATCCCAATTATCACCTATAAACAAAACCCCAACATGTTACTAAATCTCTGCGCTGGTCAGTTCAGCGTCAGCATATGTTTGTGTGTCAGTTTCATGCCTTGAGGATAGAGTTGTCCTGCCGAGTGTTTTTAGTGTCATAACCCTCCAGGATGCAACAGCGGACTGCGGAGCCTGAACCAGCAAACTCTGAAATGTTGAGATCAGCAAATCCGAGCTGGAGGTACACAGACAGACACACAGATGTAAGAAAACAACACCAAGAGAAAACAACCAAGGTGAGCTAACTATAGATTTAGAATAAAGTCTAGACCAGGTCTCTTCATGATTTTGTATTTTGCACCTTCACAGATGTGAATCAGCAGGAACTGTTGGATTTTTAATATCTTTTTGTTAAATGCTTATTGTCTCTGTTTACAACTAACAATCAGTCCTGTCATTTGAGGAAGTGAATGAAAGACAACAGCAGAGTGACTTTACGTAGAAGTCAACAACCTCCTTTAACCTCCCCATTCACAGTGTTTTGCCCACTCAGCACAGCTTCCTCATTGAGGGCTACAGCTTGTGGTGGAGTTGGTTCATGTGGATAAGTGTAATTCATTATCAGTGTAGCTCCTAATAAGAAATTTCATGAAAATGTATCCCATCTGTGTCCACTAAATGAGAAAATGTCATTTAAAGTTATTTCTTTACTCTACCTGCAAAACAGACAAGCACCAAACAGACACAAAGAGACACAAAAAACTAAATAAAGAAATATAAAATGACCACAAAGAGAACCCAAAGACAGACAAGACAAAACAAAAAAAACACACACACACACACAACAAGGTGACACAAAAAAACACAATGAAACACAACATGACCACAGATAGTCACAAAACAACCCTACAGAGATACAAAATTAGCACAAGGAGAGATAAGGCAATCCTAAAGACATTCCAAAAGTTTAGAAGACACAAAACAACCACAAAGACAAACAAAATAACCACAAAGACACATACAAGAAATACAAAGAGACAAAGAGAGTGAAAGAGATAGTCATCTGCTTCCTAGAAAGGAGGGATGGGGCCCTTTACTTGACTTGCCCAAGTGTCCATTGTGTTACAATCTGTCCACAAAGACAGTGCAAACAGAGGAGACACACCAAATCCCCCCCCTGACTAACACACTGTACACACATCACCCCGCATAGACACACTGTGGTAATTAACCTGCAGGAATCAACAGCCCTATAATCAGGGTGTGACTTCATAATATTCCAGTCATTTGTCACAGCTGGAGCTCGAATGTAATTCAAACAGCTGATGAGTTCAGCTACAGGAGTTCAGCTGCAATCTACACGACAGACACACACACTGCAGTAAACACAGTGTGATCTATCGCTGGCCACTTCTCCCGGTCATTACCCTCTGACTGTGCCCCGTCCCATGCCCCTGTAACAAGGCCCAAGGATGCAGTCATGCTGGTATTTAACACAGTGTTTACCACCACTGACATCGTAAATGAGTGTTTTATGAAGGAAGCGGAGAACTTTAGACTTTATGAGCCACAGTTCTCATGTCCAACAGGTCAGCTAACTCGGGCTGGGATCAGTGAAAAGTTAGTTTGGGTAGTTTGCGGAAAAATACTTGCATAGATGTTAATCTTACCTTTGAGAAGGCCTTTCCTCCTTTGAGCTCCTGCAGACACATGGAGCAAAACAGTGAAGACAAAACACAGCTGACCATCTCTACAGTCACATCTACTGTAAAATCACAGTACCAAACCAATATGAAACCTGGATTTCACCCCTAGACTAAGTGCTCTGGTACAAACCAGATATACTGGACTTTACACTCATTATGCAGTGTGAACATTCCTGTTTAGTTGAGGAATGCATTACCTTTGAATTACTCATGGATGTATTAAAAAGACCTGCACATTTGTGTTCTCTACTCAGTGATTCACCTGCAGGTGGAGTCTGGTAGATTCAGCTGGGAGGGTTTGTTTTGCAGAAGCACTGAGACAATTGTGTTAAAGACTCACTTTTCTATGTGCCAAGGAGATTTTATATATATAAATCCTTCATGGACTTTAAAATGATAACATAAAGAGTAAAACCCAGTCTTGTTTTTAATTGCAAGTGTCCTGTCAACAGTTTAACAGACTCTTACATAGTGATGGTCAAAAATGTTTTTTCATTGAGATACTGCAAGTGACCACTGGGACAAACTGGCAGCAAGGCTGAGTGGTGGTGCTTCTTCTAGCTCTGCTAATACATAAATGGAATTCATTCATAAACCAGAGAGGCAGGTAGACATGGCTGTTGGGAACAGTAGCTTACCTTGCGTACAGAGACTCTGCAGATGCAGGGGTCCAACACTCCAGTTATCGGATTAGCACACATTTTACACACGAAAGAGAACTTCTTCCTCCAGCGAACACAGTTCTGCTGCACCTCCTCCCTGCACACACACAGACATACTTGAATCACACTGTTGCTCACTTTAATGTAAATTGCAGGTATCTAGGTGTGAACAGAGAATTCTGAGACAATAAATCTCTATAAACCCTGGTATTTCCCAGATGTCTGTGTCAGTCTGTATTTGAGTCCAGTGGACTCAAGACTCCTCATCCTCAATCAGTGGTGCCCCTGTTTGTACATTTTGCAGGATAATGAGCATCATATTTTCACAAAGCTTCTGTTTCTGCCCATCTAGACTAAGATGCAGCCTCTGAGATTTCAGACCAAAACACCAAACAAACTATTAGTGCTCTAAGCTAACTAGCCTCACATGGAATTTAATTCAACTTCCTTTAAAACAAATATTTAAATGTTTTTGACTGAAATAAATGTATGACACCTTAGCTTATTAGTTGAAATAAACAAGAAAGCAACAACAAGAACATATGTGTTTGTAGATTCTGTGTTTTTCACTGTACCCTTTAAATCACTCAAACATGGATTATTGACAGTGATGGCTGTCAATAATATGGAGTCAATAAAATGAAGGTGTTACAAAAGATTAGTTACACAATTTGTAAGACAGTGAATCTAACAGGGGAATACAAACAAGGCTACGGTGGACAGGGTTCAGGGGCTCAAATTAGACAAAGTTAATCACAGATTTTATCACAGAGAGCTGTTGCCTGGGAGACAATAAAAATCTGTGGCAGAGAGCATTTCGCAGTTTCACAGCAAATGTGCTAGAGGCTGCATATATGAAAGGCCAGATGTATGTGAATGTGTTCCTAAACATAGGAAATGATATTAAAATCACAGCCTAAATCAATAACTGCATCAACTGTCTTTTCTGTCTGTTGTTAGAAAGAAAGCAAAGCAGGCCCTGCAGCTGATGGCCCAGATGATCTCATCCTGGGATATGTGACACGTCAGACTCAGCGCTCTGTTGAGGGGTTTTCCCCTTCCACTGAGTGAAAACACATTTGGTGTTTATCTGCATGTAGTTTGTGAAAGACATGTTTCCCTCTCCCTTTCTCCGTCACTTTCTCTCCCTGTTTGCAATCAGATAGAGCAGTAGATGTAACAAATACATTCGTATAAAGGCCAAAGCAAACTGAACTAATAATTTGAGAGTCCAGGTTACGGATGCACAGTTTGGACAGTGCAAACATGACCAGGCAGTGCAGGGAATCACGCCTGGAACAGACGCTGCAAGAGAAGAGAAAGTCCAGGACATACATGCTTCAGGAGATTTATGACTACATATGCATGAGATGGGGTTAACAGGTATTATTGCCATATGCATTTCTTCTACTGTTAAAAGAAGCAGAGGAACCAACCCTGTCAACTTGTGGGTGGAACTTTCTGGTTTATTTTTCTTCTTCAGAATAGGTCTCCGGCTCAGATGTCAACAACTTAATCACCCCAATATTACAACATGCTACCGTTTGTTGGTTGCATGGTTGGTTTTACAGTGTTTGAACATACTCATAGGTGAGCTGGTGTGCTCAAGCTGCCATGAAAGGATAGAGAGCATAGGCCACATTGAACCTTTACACTTAACCTCCAGCCTGTAGGGGTTAAATCCCACTGCAGGGAGGTGTTACCAATTCTAGGTAGACCTTACATTCTATATGAATAAAATCAGCTACTTTCTATATTTGTTTTGTGTTTGGGCAAGTTTTTGATTCAAATGACAGTTTTAGCACTTCAGAAAAGAATCGTTACTTTCTCTACCTCTAGAAACGGTGACAAACACGATTCTTTCCTCAGTCAGGAGATACCAAGACGTCCTTGTGGAAGACAGTGAACCTGAAACTGTTCCACTAAATATGAAGCAGCCTACTTTAGATGCACAAATAAAGGCCAAAGAAGAGGCTACAGTGACCCTAAAGTGCTCCCTTTTTAGTACATAGTGCACTGTAGTTATATCGGACATTATGAATTTTGAGGAGCTCCCATTCCACCTGTGTTATAGACCCCTAACACCCAAAGGTCCACCTTCCTCCATCTAATGGAGTGAGCGTCTGTTGAGTGACTTCCAACTAAATCGAACTGCTGAACACCTCCTGTGCAGACCCAGACAGAGCACCAAGGCTGCTGCTGCTTTGTTAACATGCTGCTCACACTGTGCCTCCTATGCAGACATCAGTTCACAAACAGGAACAGCCTCTTCTTTCTGAACTAATGGGTCAGGAGCAAAGGTAAACAGCGTTTGTAGGAAACTACTACTAAAGCTATCCGTTGGGTTTACCAACTCTTCTACACATCACACACACCCAGGCCTCAGCCAGCTGGGCTTGTCCTAACCTGACTGGTAAACTGTGATGTTATCTGTTGCTGCACAGCCCATGTCAAGGAAAACTTAACATGGGAATCATCCTGCATTTCAGTTACACAACACACATGTGTAGACTCAGCCTGCTGCTGAACAGAACAGACAGTCCTGTATGGCTAATGTAAGCAGTGCAAACAATATGGAAATCTGCCCAGTAGCCAGGTAACCCTCACTGACAGTTCTTTATATTATATGTACATGTAACACACTGTTACTACTGAATACCTCTGGCATACCCTAATTCAAACTCTCATCTTTGCCTAAGGTTTTAAATACACTTTATATACAAGTCTGCACATTTATTTCAGTCTTAAAAATACTGACATTGCAAACCTGTTCGGTACAAAACACAGCGTCACTGTTCTACTACTGCAACAAAATTAAAACTGCCTTAACTGTTTTGTACACTTGGGGACCACAGAAAAAACTGATACCCTCTAAAGCTATTGAGTTTTTCCCAGAAGACACACAGGGCAACATTATTCATTTGGAGTTATGTTTGATATATGTGAGAAATCTAAGTCCAATGTTCACATCCTTTAAGCTTTGTTTTGGTGCCTACCTGTTTCAGATATCTAAATATCTGCTTCTTTAACTGCTAAATGCTTCCCTGTGGTCATAATCAAGTTGCTCTCTTGGTCTGTATGTCGTTTCAGGCTGAGCAGTTAGGCTACAGCGGCTTTTTGCTCAATACAGCTGCCTGCAGCTGGAAACAATGTTGATAACAGCAGAGTTTGTGGGCTGGAAGACCAAAACAACAAGCTACAAAGAGTCTTAAAAGCTCTCTCAAGCAAATGGAGCTCAAGAGTTGGTATTAATTCTCTGTGGGCTTTATACAATCAGTAATCATTTTCACATTAAGCAGATAAATTTGATGCAATGTTAATTAAAAAAAACTTGGCAGCTTTTATGAAAAACTATGATTATAAGGTTTTAGTTTCTTCTCCCAGTCCATTTATGTTCATCCGATTTTTGGAAATGACCACAGATTTTTGTACAAATTTAGGTCTGTACTTTAAATATACTTTAGTCCTGTGTATCTGGAAACATTAGTGCATGGAACAAAGTTTGTGTTGCATAATCATCTACATGCAGCTTTTCACAAGTATTTTAGCCTGTTTGTTTTCTAGTTATTCTGACTTTTTTTTTTAATTTCAAAGGCCCATGGCATCAGAACCAAGCCATACAATGTAGCTGCACCATTCATATGTTTTTATTCAGAGTGACCACAGACTGTCTGACGGTGACATCGGGTATTGGTTTGTGGATAAACCTTTTGAAAACTCCAGTATGGCCTTTTCGCCATTGTCTGAGGAGGACACAGAGGGATATTTTAGTGATATGTCAATCACAAAGTAGCCCTGCTATAAAACACACCCTGCTTTATCATCTTTTCACCTCTAAATGTGTCCATAATTTACAACATGAACACAGACTTTAAACTCAGGTAACAAATCAAGTGAGAAGTGGGATGATTTTTCTCTGAGACTTCTATACAATCTGACTCCTGTTCACAACAAGAGAAATCGCCCCCAGCTGACTATTAGAAAGAATACAGGTTTAAGCCACTTCATGTTGGCCTAACTTGTCAGACCCAGAGGTCACCGCTACACTGCTAAACTCAGGTGAGCATGAGAAAATGTGATGTGAACCTTTCTCAAAGGAGCCACGCCCACTTGAAACCAGTGAGAAAAGCAAGGTCAGAATAAAGAAATGCAGAAACCTCTCATGTGAAATCACTGAAACAGTTCTAACCTTGACAAAAATTCTCAAAGTTTAAAGTTTGTAATAGATTAAACTTAGAGTAAAGTGTTGATCATGAGACGGATCTGCTCGTGTTGGGTCATGTCAGCTCTGATGCAAGTTCTTTCATCTTACTCATGGTCTTCCTATGTTTTCCATTTTCTACTTCCATTGTGATGTCTTCTGAATGACTTTGAGTTGGATTTCTATTTGCTGAAAGACATAATGACATTGTGTTACATAAGCTTTACTTTCCTATTTGTTTTAATGTAATCAGTAATAAGTGCTTGAGTCGGTATCTGCAGGCATTCTTTCCCGCATTAACTTTATCAGAGAAACTTTTCCCACTCCACTTATCTGGAGGGTGACCTGAAGTTTACAGCTCTTAAAAAAAACAAGCCTGGGGGCTGCTGGCTTCCTGACAGAGGCAGAAAATGGTCAAACAGGTTCTGCCACTTCTTTTCTTATAACCCAACCTGCCTGCCTTCACAAACACACCATTGTATGGCAGGTAGATACAAGCAGCACTCTCTCCTACAACCAAGCTGTGCTGTACATGGCTGGTTGGCCTCTTAGGGACTGTTCACTGTTCACAGGAAATCACAGTCTGATTTGGTGACCAGGACATGCATTTTAACTTTAGTAGATGGAAAATGACATGTCTGTTTAGTTGGATGTGAGGAAGTCATAAGCACATCTTCATTTATTCATAAACTCCTGCACACTGCATTGCACTGGTGTACTTTGTTGTAATCTATACACTAATGTTTCCACCTCAGTCAGGCAACAAAATTAATTTGAAGGTTTTTTTCCTTCTAGTTTTTTCACTCAGGTATTTATAGTGCATGTAAAAAAGGTGGATGTCTCTACATCTTAGCATCACACAACATCTGCACTTCTTTGCTTATATACTGCAGGAA